TAGGTACCTATAATAAATTACAAATTAATAATATCACAATAACCATTAGGTACTTATGACGCGTTATACATCAACAACAAACCCTGATACTATCATAGTCCATATACTCCATAGATATATAATAGTGTACTTTAGAAGTTTCAAGTACCCACGAATAATATTATACAATCACAACAAAATCACTAAATCAGTTATTCTAGGTTTCTTATTATGTAATTTCGTCCAAATTTGAACTTAAAATGATTAAAAAAATAAAATTTGCTTATGTATTTTTTAGATTTCTTGGTAACAGAATTAACTACTTACTTGGAATCTTGTTTTAAATTTTCAATCTTCAGATATAAAAGTTGAACATTTTATAAATTTTTAACTAAAAAATAATTATTCAATTTAAAATTTGATAAATTTTGTCAAAATTCGAAATTTTAAATGCTAAAAAAAAATTGTGCCTGTGTATTTTTAATATTTTTCAACTGATATTGTAACAATATATCAGGAGCCTTATATTACATTTTTACACTTTTTGGCCCAACAGCCAACAAAAAAAATTTTATTGATATTTTAAGAAAAAAAACTAAAAAAAATGGAAAATGAAAATGTCCCTAAACAGTTCAAAATAAATCAAAATATTTTGAAAATGTTATCGTGTATAGAAAATGCAAATATAAGCAATCAGTGAAAATGGTCATTTGTTTTAAAGTTACACCATAAACCAAATTAAATTTTGGGAAAAATCGATTTGGATAAAAATTCCCGTTTTCCCTTAATTTTTCTTTTGTTTTTCTTGGCGCTTTTGAAAATTACTGGGAATTTTAAATTTTGACCTCCTCAATGCACCATCGATATTCACTTTCCAATAGAACAAGATATTGAAGTTGAAAATCGAAGCATTATTTCGATTGCTTATCGTGTATACAGTATACACACAAAAAAAAAAATAAAAAAAAAAACACATCATTGTAAAATCATACATTCATCATTCCACTCAGAAACTAAAGTTGACAAAATATGGAAAAATCAAGAAAATAGCAAATTATTTTGAGTAAAGAATTCGTAAAAAATTTTCTTTTTAAATCTAAGATTTTAAGATGTAATATAAGATATTATATGTACCTAATGGATATTGTGATAAGATTAATTTGGAATTTATTATAGGTATACCTATTATAGGTCAATTTTTTTTAACATTATAGATAAGTATATAATATGTCTTATACTTAGACTGACATACCGTCTCCTCTCAGAATCGTTTTTCTTATACAATGATACTATATCATTGAATTCAAATTTAATACCATCCATTATACAGTGACTTCCTTGTAACCTACTGTACAGCAGAGCACCTTTTTTTTATTGAGCTTAACCCCGGTAACTATGGCCCTTAGCTGTTTGTTGTTTGCAGTGTTGGGAATTATCTAGATAAAAGTATTTTAGATTTCTTAAATTATCTTATCTAGATAAAAATAATTAAACCATCTATTTATCTCATCTAGATAAATGTAATGGTTATCTGTGGTAATTTATCTAGATAAATAATATAATAATAAGAATATTTTTAAATACTGAAATAGCCAATGATTTACGAGAACCGAGTGGTAGTGATTTTTTTTTTTTGATAAAGGTACACAAACTTATAAGGAATCTTGTATTACATTTTCAAATATTAGATTTAAAAAGAAAATTATTTATGAATTTTTAACTCGAAATAATTTTCAAATTTTCGTAATTTTGACGTATTTTGTCAGTATTTGAACTTTAAATGCTTATAAAAAAAAATTATGACTAAGGATTTTTATTATTTTTCAACTATTATCGTTACAATATAGTAGGAGCCTTGTATTCAATTTTCAAGCTTTTTTACCCAACAAATAAAGTTTTATTGACATTCATAGAAAAACAAAGACTAAAAGAATTAGAAATTTTCCTAAACAGTTCAAAACAAATTAAAATGTTTTGAAAATTTTATCGTGTATAGAAAATGCAAATATAAAGTATAAGTGAAAATTTCATGTATATACGTTCATTTGTTTTAGAGTTAAATCAAAAACCAAAATCGATTTTGTGGAAAACCGATTTTGAGTAAAATTTCACACTTTTCCTTAAATTTATTTGTTGTTTTTCCCGACGCTTTTGAAAACTATTGGGAATTTAAACTCCCGACTGCACCAACTAGATTAACTTTCCCATCGAATAAGATACTATTGAAGAAAATCGAAGCAATTTTACTGGCCTAAACCGTGATGACAGAGACAAAAAAAAAAAAAAAAAGGTGGGTAAGTGGATGTCGCTCTGCTGTACAGTAGGTTACAAGTGGGTCACTGTATAATTGATGGTATTAAATTTGAATTCAATGATATAGTATCATTGTATAAGAAAAACGATTCTGAGAGGAGACGGTATGTCAGTCTAGGTTTAAGACAAATTATATACATATCTATGGTATTAAAAAAAAATTGACCTATAATAAATTCCAAATTAATCATAACACATTATCACAATATCCATTAGGTACTTATAACACGTTATACACCAACAACAAACCCTGATACTATCATATATATATAATAGTACACTTTAGAAGTTTCAAGTAGGTACCCACGAATAATATTATATAATCACAACAAAATAACTAGGTTTTTTAATATGTAATTTCGTCCAAATTTGAACATAAAATGACTATAAAAATAAACTGTGATTGTATATTTTTTAGATTTTTCGGTAAGAGAATTAACTACTTACGTGAAATCTTGTTTTAAATTTTCAATCCTTAGCTATAAAAACTGAACATTTTATAATTTATTAATTACGATGATTAATAATTTTCGAGATTTTGAAAATTCTGTCAAAATTCGATGTTAAAATGCTTATAAAAAAAAATTGTGCCTATGTATTTTTAATATTTTTCAACTGATATTGTAACAACATATCAGGAGCCTTGTATTAAATTTTTACACTTTTTGGCCCAACAGATACAACTTCATTGATATTTATAGAAAAAAAAAACTAAAAAAATTAAAAACTGAAAATGTCCGTAAACGGCTCAAAAAGAGTCAAAATATTTTCAAAATTGTATGGTGTATAGGAAATGCTAATATAAACATTCAGTGAAATTTTCATGTATCTACAGTAATTCGTTTTTTAATTACAACAAAAAAAAGAAATTGCCACATGAGAAATCGAGTGAATATCCAATGTTGTAAAAATTTGAATTTCAAACGCTCATAAAAATTTAATTTGACTTTCCGGTAGAAATTTTTTTATTGATAAAGGTAGACAATCTTATGAGTAATCTTGTATTAGATTTTCAAATCTTAGATTTAAAAAAAAAAATTTTTACGAATTCTTAACTCAAAATAATTTGCTAATTTTCATGATTTTTCTATATTTTGTCAATTTTTGAACTTTAAATGCTTATAAAAAAAAACTGTGACTTACGATTTTTAATATTTTGAATCTGCCTTTGAAACAATATACTAGGAGCCTTCTATTAAATGTTCAAGTTTTTTTAACCAACAAATAAAATTTTATTGATATTTCTAGAAAAAAAACTAAAAAAAAATGAAAAATGAAAATGTCCCTAAACAGTTCAAAATAAATCAAAATCTTTTGAAAATGTTATCGTGTATAGAAAATGCAAATATAAACAACCAGTGAAAATTTCATGTATATACGTTCATTTCTTTTAGAGTTACACCAAAAACCAAAATCGATTTTTTTGAAAACCGATTTTGCGTAAAAATTCCCGTTTTTTCCGTAATTTTTCTTTTGTTTTTCCCGGCGCTTTTGAAAACTACTGGGAAATTTAAATTTTGACCTCCCCAATGCACCAACGATATTCACTTTCCAATCGAACAAGATACTGAAGTCGAAAATTGAAGCATTATTTCGACTACTTATCGTGTACACAGACACAAAAAAAAAAAAAAAAAAAAACACACATCATTGTAAAATCAATACATTCATCGTTTCACTCAGAATCTAAAACACATCATCGTAAAAACAATACATTCATTGTTCCACTTAGAATCTAAAATGAAAGCTACTACCTGGACGCTCAGGAACCAATCTACTCGCATCTAATGAGTAAGAGTAACACACTAACACCTGATAAATTAAATCTATACCTACAAAGCAGTACCACTTACAGTATTTTCTATACCTGTTCAGGCCTGTTCTAGCTACCTATGGAGAATATCTTACACGATTCACCATAAAACACACTTGTGTGTGTGTGGTGGTGGATGTCCCCCTTTTTTTTTCTAACCATTGAACACAATATTACTTAGAACAACTTGGAACATTATTTTATTACTTTTAAGTTCATAGTATTTATCAATAAGAAGGAATAATTACATATGAGGTTGAAGTACTTTATTTCAAAAAGTATATTTTATTTTAAATTAAAAACAAACGTTCAATTTTACTATAATATATTACTTTAATCAGCACAACGAGGGACAATTTTCTGAGGGTCTAAAATTGTATCAGTAGCACAATCCCTGATAATTAATATTTTAAGCTAAAATATGATTAAAAACAGGGGGCTTAGCCCCCCTAATTGCACCTATGACTTCAATAATTACTCGACTTGTCTCTACGGGTTCTACTATTTCTCACTATCTACATAATTATACAAATGTTCTACATACCTGCAATTAAAAGTTGAATTTGTTCCTTGGTTAACGTGAATTTATTTTCTTCCATAATTTTAGATGTATTATTATAATTTAATTTAATCACATATTCGCCATCATTTCCTTTGGATATATCCACATCATTTAAACGACCAATTTGCAAAGATTCATTCTTCAACACTTTAGTTATTTGAGATAAGTTATCCAAATATACTCTACATAGCGCTGAAGCATGTTCACGTGGCAAACCAATCTGGAAATGGGCGGTATAGTATTAATTATCAATTTTTTATTCAATTACAAAATGCATGATTTATGAATCTAATATAAGTATGTATGTAAATTAACCAATATTTTCAGAAAATTTTTAAAAAAGTAACAATTTGTATGGTTCTTTTGCTTCTATAAAGTTATACATGAATATTATTAACTATCTATTCGAATATATACAAAACAAATTAAAATAAGACTTTAATAAACGCGAAATGTATAAATCTAATATTTAACTAGTTTTACTGTGGATTAAAAATAATAACTATAAAACATAACGGTTTTGTGGAATTTTAAATTTTGTTTAATAAATCAGAACTTTATATTGGTTTATGAAGTTTGCACATTATATTAATGTGTTAATAAATACCTAATAAGTGACTATGCATATCTAGTGAACACATAAGTTTAATACAATTTCATAATAATATAATTAACTGTTTAAAATAGCTATACAGTATGTCCCAAAAGTTCCGTATCACCCTTAATATCTCCATGTAAAATCACTATATTTAAACGCGGTTTTTTTTACAGTACTAAGTATGAAAATTCTGATTGAATGGCATAAAATTAATTTATTTTTTTCTTTAAATTCAAAAATTTTCAAAAAAATTTTTTACGCATTTAAGAATTTAAAATTTTTAAGATAGCCATTTTGTTGAGCATATTTTTTAAAACAGTTCAAAAAAAATAAATTAGGAATGTAAAAGTATTGTCGTGTGCTGAAATTAGATATTTCATTATTGAAATGTGAAACAATAATTTATGTTTTTACTACAATTATTCAAAAACATAACTTGCTCTAACTTGGTCAATTTTTATTTAATTTTAGTATTATTTTTTTGAACTGTTTTAAAAAATATGCTCAACAAAATGGCTATCTTAAAAATTTTAAATTCTTAAATGCATAAAAAATTTGTTTGACAATTTTTGAATTTAAAGAAAAAAATAAATAAATTTTATGCCATTCAATCAGAATTTTCATACTTAGTACGGTAAAAAAACCCGCGTTTAAATATAGTGATTTTACATGGAGATATTAAGGGTGATACGGGACTTTTGGGACACACTGTATACATATAGTTGTAACTAACTATAAATGTCTGATATATTTTAATTTATAAAATTTAAATATATACTTGTTGTAATTCGTTGGAAAGATAATTTTGAGAAACAGCATGACAGGCAGCATTTTTTAGTATATATGTGATTGCAGCTACACATGCTTTACAGTTTTCAACATCTAAATAAAAAAAAAAGAGGGTAAGTGGATGTCACTCTGCTGTACAGACGTACAGTAGGTTACAAGTGGCTAAAGGCCATAGTTGCCGGGCTTAAGCTCAATAAAAAAAGGTGCTCTGCTGTACAGTAGGTTACAAGTAGGTCACTGTATAATGGATTGTATTAAATTTGAATTCAATAATATCATATCATTGTATACGAAAAACGATTCTGAGCGGAGACGGTTTGTCAGTCTGGATATTTTATAGTGTTATTATATTTTGTTATAGCCTGTACGTTGAATTAATTAATATTATAAATTACAACAAAATAACTAAAATCGTTATTTTTATTCGTTTTTAAGGAGATTAACAAAACGTTAGAAATTAAAATCCATTTTATTAGCGGTTTTTTGTAATATTTCAGTGGTTTTTCCTATAGCATTAAATAACTATTGAGAAAATCGAAAAATGACCTTTTTAAAGTACCATCTTTATCCAATTTGGTAAAAGATAAGATACTATATGTGGAAATCGAAGCACTCCTTCTGGTAGAAATTTTGTATACAGGATAAAAAAAATAAATAAATAAATAAACACTATTGTAAAACCACTTATAGATCCCCCACTCCGCTCAGAATCTAAAAGTATATTTGTTTTTAATATACTTTATTAATACCTAAGATTCCTTAGATTAAAATATTTTAGAGGGATATGTGATACGTCACATGTATATACTATACAGAGTGTATCTTATGCCATTGTACGAGGTTTTTTTTAACGATTATGGATCGATGACCTAGAAATTCGTTAAAACGAAAAAAGACGTGCTTAACAATTTATAACAATTTCAAAATTTTTAAACACCATTGGTATACCAATAGCAAAATCAACTTTGTACAAAATAAAATGTAAATGTCTAAAACTAAAAAATATGAAGGCTTATGAATTTCAACTCCTAAATTCATATTTTGCATGCGATACCTACCAATATAGGGAACCTATATGGTTCAAATTTAAGTTTATCCCACTACGAGAAGAGCACCACAAAACATTGAACTTTTTTCATTACATATTTTTTTTAACCCCCATACATACCTAAAACATTAATGTCAACAATCGAACACCATTTATCAACTTACCATTATTACTTTAGCCACCTAATAAATAATCAAAATTTATGATATTGTAAGAAAAGTAACTGTGAAGTAATTAATTACGATTAAATATAATAACAAATTAAAATAATAATACTAAGTTTGATGATTGTGTGTTAAAATAAAAATAATGAACTATGTTTGCCAACAGTTTTGTTTATTTTTTTTTTTTGAGAGAGTGTCATTGGATTACCGATTAAACTACTTAAGTATATAAAAAGGTAGTTATAAGAAAAAATTATTCAGCTCTTGTAAATTAAAAAAATACCAATTATTTCAATTAAAAGTATTAATTCATATTTTACTAAACTTTAAAGGACCATAGTTAATAAACTAGTGAACCAAAATTGATGATTTGACAGTCAACATTTTCAGAAAAAAAGCTTTAACAGAATCCATTAAAAAATATAGTAGTTACCATTTGAAAAAATAAAGTTGATGTTGCTATTGATACACCTGAGTATTTAAACATTTTGAAATTGTTATAAAAAAATTGACTGTTAAAAATAAAGAAACACGTCTTTTTTCGTTTTAACGAAATTCCATGTCCGCGATCCATAATCTTTAAAAAAAACCCAGCGTACAATGACATAAGATACACCTTGTATATATACGATATATATACTAATATACTATATACTAAACTATATCAAACATACTATACGTACAGTTAGTAATATTATTAAAATAATATAGGCATTTAAATAAAGTATGTTATTTTTACAAGCTTTTAATTACATTAATTATTTATTTATCTTATTTGCAAACAAATAAATTATTGAACGTTTAAAATTTAAATTAAATTCATAAGTAAATACCTGTATAATATTTTATACAATGATACAATTGGAAAACCTATAATACTTTAATAAATTATAATATGATATTATATCCACACAAATACATCTAACACCGGCCAGACAATAATTTAAAAAAGATATCTTGTATACAATGCTACATCCATAGTAAACGAAATAAATATTTAGCAATTACTAATTCTTTTAGTGTGTGTATATTATTGGATAATATAAGATAACGTCCCACCAAATGTTATAGTGTTCTACTATAAAATAAATTAGAGTCCTGCGTTGTGTCCTAGTCCATGGGATGTAATATAACACGATACAAAATATAGAAATTGATTTATGGTCTAAAGAAGAAAACACCCTAAAGAGATTCTATAATGTACAATGAGCATCAAAGAACTGTTAAGTAAAGCCATAATAATAAAATCATGGTTCGTATTCTATATGAGTGCCGAACATCACACTCCACATTTTTAATAAGATAAATTCAGGAAAAAAAATAGATCAACTTTGATTAGAACTAAAAGTTTCTTTAGATGACAGCTGAAGTGTAACCTTATTATAACTACATACAAATAATTTTGTTTCTACCCAATATCCCAAATTATAAACCCTTAATGTTATACATGATAAAATATAAGCCTTTCTTTAACGTTCAGTATAAAACAATAGCAAACAAAAATATATTGAAATAAATCAACACTAAAATAATATGCAATTAATTAGGTACCTATATAAGATAATAGTAAATGACAAGTTAATAACTAATATTTTTAATTTTTATCACCGCATAAATAGTTGACAATTATTAAAAAATTATATTTGTAAAATTTAAGCTAGAAAAAGTTGAGTAAAATATCAACTGAAAATAAATGTTAACAACGCTGTTAAATTTGTTAAAATTGATATAATTTAATAATTTAATTCGTTTTTCATAGTAAATGTATAATACGGAGTATATTACTAAATTAAATATACAATTACTTGCAGTACTTAAGTACATAAAGAACTATTTGATATATATTATTTAATTGATTTACTCCCTATTATCGAAGGTTTTATATTATACCTATTGGCTATTACATTATAATCTTAATCTAAAATATTCATAAACTGGCAAACCATTTCGTAGGATTATATTTTAAGAAAAAACAATTTAACTTACCCAGTTTAGCATCAGCCATAAGCTCCTTAGCTTTTTCAAACTACAAAACAAAAGCTGTCATTAATTATTCGACATTGTATCATCGCTCACATAATAGGTTTTCTTAACGATGTATCAAATTCTGCGATCATATATAAGCGGTGAAAAGTGTGATCTATTGCAATACGTATAAGTTGTTCAACATTAAGTAGCTTAAGAAAACTAATTTTTGAAGACATCAAGCAAAAATGAAAAATTATAAATTTTATCGTAAATAATATAAGGGGTTTCTAACCAACATACTAGTCTTATATTTAATAAGTTAATGCTATTATTCCATTAAAAAATGTCCAGTAAAGATAATCAGATTTACTATGGTCTTTATGAAACATCGGACAAAAATCCAAGCACTTATATGGTCCATTACGTAAACATAAATGATATTATCTGTAATGTTTAGCGCGGGTGTGTCTTAAAAAGGTGAAGAAGAAAAGCGAGCATAGAATTCTTTGTAACAATAAAAAAATAACTTTTTTAAAAAAAATAGTGGATGTATACCTAATAATGAAGAATAATAGCTTTTTTTCAAATCCCAATAGATTATATTTTGTGAAAAAATAATAAAAACAAAAAAGTTTGTTGGCAACCACCATAAATAAGACCAATCAAGATTAACGAGTTGCTTTGAATTAACTAATTGTATTTTTTTGTTTTGTTTTTATATGATAGCATATTTTTTAAAGTATAAAACAATGAGTTGCTAAAAAGAGTTTTTACACCGCTTTAATAATAATTATAAATAAAAAGACATAATAGCATAACGTTAACATAATAACATAAACTTACGTTGAATGGTTCTCCGAGCAATGAATTAACCGTGCACTGGGCTAACAGTTTCATTTTAATCGATGTCTGCAGGGAAAATAATAGAATTTTAATTCAATTTGAATGTAACCAACAATACAATTTTAAAACTATATTTCTACAAAATATTGAAAGCTTGGATAAAGAAATTAGTTAATTTAATTTGCATTTTCAGTAAAAATATTATAATTGTAAATGTAAATGTATTGTATATTTGTTAGACAAACACAAATAATGTATCAATAATAGCAATATTCTATATTCAATTTTAATAGGTAAATTTGGGATGTAGATATTTATACACAAGCTTTTTGTACTGCTGCAGTTATATAACATTAAAAACAAATATATTCTTACCATCCTTGATAGTGCATTGATCTGAACCAATAACCATTCTGGGCAGTCACCACCCCCACAGAATTTGAATTTCTATATCAAACACAGAAAACAATACCCATTATACCATTATAATAACCATTTCAGACATATTAAATTGTCTTAAGTTATAGTGTTGGGACGCGTTTAAGCATCTATATAATCTACAAGAAACGTGGCTGACAGCGATTAACAAGAAGGTTAGATTAATTACAAGACAGTATAAGTATTGTTTTACTCACCATTGTGACACGTTAATGACAAACACCGCGGAATAGGCTACCCAAAGGACCTACAAAAGAAAAATAGGTTATTTCAAAAGAAAACAAATATAATACAGTAATATTGTTTCTTTTTTTTTTTCATTTTATTTGGACACATAATAAAATAACATGTCGTAATATTCCTTGTACAAGCCTTGTCAACCCTCTAGTCGAAATTCATGAATAGTCGGGGTGGCTGTGAGGATCGGGCAGTGTAATACAATAACCCAAGGGTGTGTATCCAGTGCCATGAACAAGATTAAAATGGGAATCGGTACCGATCCCAGAGTTAATCATTGCGATCACCTGGTGTGTCCAAACTAAGGTACGTGTAAACATAATAATGTAAGGGTTATAAGGTCTATAAATACACGTAGCTCCCAAGGAAAGATGGACATTCGAACTGGACGTCATGGAGCTCATGGATGCAAGAACAAAGTTATACTTAATAAGTGTCGCCTATTTTGTACAGGTATGTACCATCGTTTGACGTTAAATTATTTTTGATTATTTTTATTTACAATAGTTAATAATTAAAGGTAGGTAGGTAGTAGAATATATTTTATGTTAGTCACAATATAAATAATGAGTGCCTAATGACTAAATGAGCATAGGTACCACAACAAACTCTAGAAACATAATTCAATTTAATAAATTTCATTTAAATACATTTAAAAAACCAAAATAACAAATTAATTTTTAGAAAATCTCAAAATATTTATTATTTTAAACATAATGTTAAATATAAATTATATTTTTTCACAACTATAAAATTAAAAATTACGAAAATCGTTATGAAAAAAGAATAAGTATAAATTCTGCAATTTAGTTTACATAAACATTATACTATTTAATTTTCAATTAATTTGTTACTAGTAAAATTATAAATATGTTTATAATAGGTACTATAGGTCAATTGATATTTTTTTTTTTAGTAATATGTAAGTATTATGTTTTATACTTATATAATAAATAATAATAATATTTTATAATAATGTGTCATTATGTATTATGTTTACCTATATTTACAGTGATGTTCTAATTTATTTGATAAATAATATGTATCAATAAAATATTATAGTTTGTAATTTAATTAACTGCAATTAATGTAGAGTATTTCACAAATATTTAATAAATATTTTTCAATAATTTTTATTTTGATACTATAGTTGTAGGTATATGCAAATATTTTTAAATATTGCTGGATGAATGCGCCCAAGAAATTACTTAAACATTTTGATAATTTTTTAATATTACTATTTTGTTCCTTTTATAAATCATATATATTATGCTTTGCAATTTATACTTAGACTAGTTCCCAATCCAGCTATTAACCCTGGAATAAAAGAAGGGTTTATTTTTATTGATCTCAAAAAACAATCAGGCATTTAAGGCTATTAGTCACAGTTATTAAAATGTTTTAGGTGTGTTTATAGAGATGATACATTGTATTTATAGTAAAAGGGTGTATTTTGTATTGCTCGTTGTAGCCGTTTCTATTTTAGAACTATAATAAATACATGCATGATAATTAAACAATATTTAAATTTATATTGATAGAATGATACTTTGTGAATGGTCAATTTAAAAGATTTTGAATCTAATTTTAATTCTCGGGTAAAATTCATGAACGTACAAGAAAAATTGCAATTATTAATTTTTAATTTTAGTAATTTAAATAATTTAAAATATAAACGTAGAATTTAAATACCATTTTGTTTTTAGCCAGGCTTTAATAACATTTTTCCATATGTTTAATTCTATTTCATTTTTGTAAAATACTATTATACCTACTGTTTCCTCACATGCACTCCTTCTAACAAAAATCCCTGGAATTAGGTAAGAATATATATAATATATATTATTACCTGTATAATATAGAGTTGATGAAAACCGACTCTCGTGTTCATAAAACAAGATTCATGACAAAACGTATATTATTGACTCTTTAAAACGTGACACCGCCGAATGGCTCTATGTAGTGAATATACTTAAACTTTTGTTAAAAAATCCAAATTCGAAATTTTTACAGCTTATAAATGGCGATGCAAGAATTTCAAGAGCCGATATCAGTGCAGTTTTGGGTGAAAACGATGATCCTAATTTTTGGCCTTCACGAGGTCGAAGAAATAGTCCGGAACCCAAATTCAAACAATACTTGGAAAGGAAATACAACATGAATACTTTAAATGGTAAAACAAAATATGCTATTATAGAATTTTAATAAACATTTAAATATAAAGATTGGTTTTAAACACAAAATTATATTCATATTATTTATTACATCATTAATAAAAAATATTTTTATTTATAGTTTCAGTACTAAATAATTTAATGTTGACACAATTATTGTTATTTGAGAGATTTATAATAAATAATATTTCCAGACGTGTATTAAATTTAGGTAGCACATTTAATGTAAAAAAAAATAATTTTTATTAAAATAATGGCTATAATTTACTAATGTTCAACAATTATCTTTAAAAGAAAAAAAAATAATTCATATTTAAAAAATAACAAAATAACTGTTTCTGTACCTACGCGTATAGGTTTGTGTATAGTGGGGGTTTTCAGCCTGCGGCCAGCGATCACATTTTAAACATAGCATGACGTATCTTTTTTATTTTAATAAAATTAGAACGGCTATAAGCCTTTATTTAAGCTTTAAAAGTCTAGAAGCTACTGTCGGTTTTACCTCACGCATTTTAGCTTCCTTGAAATTGTCATAGCTAATATAATTGGGCCTGCTGAATACTATAGACAAATCGGGTGATTCGTAGATCTGCTAGGAAGGGGGAAGGGGCGTCTCAAAAATCAACTAACTTTAACGCCTCAGCCACCAAAACCAAATGATTTGAAATAATTAAATTATGTTATAAAAAAATCAGATGATGAAAATTCAGTTTCTAACAACATAAAAAACAATTACAAAAAACAATTATACATTTTATAAACAAAACAATTTCTATAGTTTTGTATACAATATTTTAATTAATGTTTAAATTTTTTTACTATCAATTTAAGATATCCCAGAAATTGTGCAAATGAAGATCATTGATTTACAGAACAATAAAATATTAAATTAAAAATATATTGACATGAAGACATATCTTCAAAACAAAACATTAAAAATCAGGGTTTTAACCCCCCCCCCCCACCATTAACTGTTTTTTATGCTCCCGTTTTTTGGCTCGCCGATAGCCTTTTTACATATGTTTCTAGAAATTATCCATTGTAAACTTTAGTACCTAAAATAATATGTACCTAGGATACAAATATACAATTAACATTCTTAAAATTGTCGAATAAATATTGATGAGATTTAATGTTAAAGGAAATTTACAAAAGCCACTTTACGTCGATGAACCAATGTGGCTAACAATTGATAGAAGAGCTGAGGGAGATGATGACTATTTCTGGGTGACAAGAGGACGGAGGGGAAATAGTTGGAAGCATCCAACATCTGCAAGACTATCAACAAATTCAAATTATCGTTATAGAGACGGGTCTGATAACAAAATTAAGTAAAAACTCGTTGTTACTATTTGAAAATAAATGATCATGTAGTGATTTATAATTTCTATAGTAAATTAAAATAAAATGTTTATTGGTTTATTAATTTGTTTTATTTCATTGTTAAACCAAAATACCAAAACAGCGAAAATTGTCTTGTTTCATAACCAAAATAACTCCAACACGTTTGAAACAAATAATATCAAAATTAATAGTCTGTGTACCTACATTATATATTTTTTATTTTTTGAACAGTTAAACGGCGTATGAGAACTCATAAAACGATACAAAAATAACCCGTTGGAATATTAATAATAATCGTATAAAAACCTTAAACAGTATAAAACAATATTACCATATTTTTATTAGAATATAAGAGTGTGTATGAGTATTGCAATAAAAATAAATGCCAATGCGTGACACCACGTCACGCCTACTTGTTGCAAATAAGAAATAAAGCGCCACCCATCGTATTCGGGGAGTATATATCTTTAAGCGCTCTCTTGATATCCATCCTTTTAAAAGCTGATCTGGTAGTGGCGATAACTGTAGCCGTAGGGATTCCAACGCAATAATACAGGTAAGATATAACTAATATACATGTAACAGGTATTATATAAAAATTCACATTATTCGTTTCAATTTTTATTTATAAATAGTTCTGTGGATTTATTATTATTTAAAATTCATATTTATAGAAAATATTAATAAGCAAATAGGTATATAACATTTATAAATTTTATTACGTTTAATTATTTGTTATTTTTTTAACGAATAAATAAGTTGTATAATATATATGTATCTACGTAAAATATCAGATTTTATGTACAGAATGTAAAAGGAACCTACACGTTACTGTTTACCGTAATAAAATATAAATATAAATAATTTAAACCAATATCCGAAGAATGGAAAAAGTATTTAATTATTATAAACAGTAAGTTGAAAAAAAGATAATTTAGGATTTTTCAAGCTTACAGTTAGAGTTCTAATCAAAGTAATAATTTTAATGCACAGAATATGATTAAGCAAAACAAAAGCTAATTTTTTTTACGTTAATATTACAAAATATTAAAACACACAACGTGAATCAATTTATTGGCTTTACCTAACTTAGGTTTTTTTTAGTATAAGTATGTTCTTGAAAATTAAATAATTTAAATAAAAATTATATAGTAGGTACTTCTATAAGGAAAATTGATAAAAATTATACAGCGATTCAAATAGTATTTACGATATCCATAAAAATAATTAAGAAAATAATACCTACATTTAGATTTGTGGCTGTATTTATGAATAATTTTACTGAAGTCAGATAGGTAATCAATAATCGTGAAGTAGCTATTATTTAAGTACAACATTGTTAGAAAAGGTGAATCTGGATATTTAAAAAAAAAATGTCTATTGTGTTATTATTATAGTGTATACTGTATACCTATATTACCTATAGTGTATACAATAGTGTATAG